TGGTGAGAGAGCTACAATTTTGAGGTTAGTCGGGTAATTCAGGTTGTAGATCTCTAAATAAGCACATTTCAAATGTTTGTCCATTCTTTGGCCTGAAGAAGTCACACTGAATGTAAACTAATGAAGTTCACTGTTGAAGGAAACACACGATGGGTTCAGAGGGATCTGCCTGGTTTCACATTTAGAAAACAGAAACATCGTCACCTTAAATTATGTGGAGCTTTTGATGTTTCTTTTTTCATTATTTAAATTACATTTCATCCACAGTTATTCTTGTTATACATTAAAACATGCACATGTTGTAATGACAAGAAACATATTGTCTGAGTATTTTGGTTGTAGTGTGTGTTGTCAACAAAGTTAGGTAAAATGCAATGGTCGTGGTTAAAGTTCAATGTTTCAATACATCAGAAATAAAATAGTTTCAATGAAACATTTATTAAACAGATTTTTTATAATTCAGATGAGTATTTTAACAGGAATCATCACAGTATTAATCACTGAGGACTTACCTAATACACTTATAAAGACAGTATTACTGTTCTTTGTATAATGTGACTCCTTCCAGGTACCAGAGCACTGATATTCACCACTGTGATATGTCGAGCTAATTTCTAATCTGTAGTCTTTTTGTGCACTGTAGCCGAAATACTCTCGACCATCCTTGTTGATTGCATAATACCAGTCAGTGTCTCTTCCTTCATTCATGTTACACTTGAAGGTAACAAACTCTCCAATGAAATAACTGGACCAGCTGGGTTCAATAGTTAGCACAGCACCTAGAATCCAACACAAACAGACAATTAGCAATCTGAAACACTTATTTAATGCTCAAGGCAAAACATTGATTGAAAAACACAAATAGGATCTGCATTAGAGTCATACAGGTTGAGAATAATCTTTATTAAATAAAAAGGAAGAAATAGAAAAAGGAAAACTGTTCAGTCACCTTGAGCGTGTCCACTGCAGACGAGCGTACAGAGCACTACAATAAAGACAGAAACTTCAGACATTATCAAACTAAAGACACTCAAATCATGTGAGTGTTTTGTTGATGTTAGATTTGAAATGTAACATAAATAAAACACTGTTGGTAATGATGTGTCTCATTTCTTGAGGCACATGATCAATAGTGAGTTAATGACCTTCTTAAGGAACAATCCCACTAGTGTTTAAAGTCCAGTCGCTTTCTTACCAAGCTCCTTAAAACACTGGGAGATTTTCAATGTCTGCTATGATCTGAGTCAGTGCACTAAAATCTAATCCAGTCTACAAACTAACATGGTGATAACAGACATGAGTGTCCTCTGATCACATGACCTGAAATGGTACAGGCCATCCTCTTTGGGCAGCCAGTGAAAGACTGGGGTCCAAAAGGGAAATGATCTCCCAGTATTTACTTTATGTATTAGAAAAAAATCTCAAAAATTAATGCCATTGACAAATTGCAGTGGGTCACTTCTGTCAACAAGAATTTGTCTAGAAAGTGGTATTTGTTGATCAACATTGACATATTTTAACTAATTTATGTGTCTCTACATTTAAACCTGACTATTGGGAGGTTGTTTTTTTTAATCTCCATTTATGGCTGGACGAGCTCTAATCTTCCTTTAAGAAGGAAGTTTCATTTAGTCAGGAGCAGGATTAGTCTAGTACTCTTTATACCTGGACTAAGGAAGCAAATTTCTGTTAGTCTGCATTAAAAGGCATATTTTTAAATCTAGCACTGGCTTTAATTACTGCCTTTATGTGTTTAATAAAATGTAACTATGATTGGTTACATTTTATATTA